CGATCGCAGCAGCTACCGTGGTGCTTGACGGCACTTATTTTAGAATTACAGACTATTTTGGCGTGAACTGCTCACCCACAGATACGTCCGTGGCGAGCCGACATTAGAGCCTCACAGGCAGATACTGGAAGGGTCTGCTGCTTGATGGAGTGAATTATAGGCACTGGAATGTTAGTAGGTGATGCAAACATGTTTGTCAGAACTTTTCTGTAAATGCCCTCCATTCCTGTTCCATTCGTTATCCGACATCTCATTCCCCTTTCAATGTTGCCAGTGTGAAGTTTACAACAACAGTTCTCTCCGGCAACACTTTTTTTGACCCATTTCTGTTTTCCACTGACGATTGTAGTCTTCGAGATTCTCCTTCACTTGTGTCTATTGTGGCTTCAAGAATACTCCACGTTTTGAGTTTTATCCCTTTTCTTGTTTCTTCTCTTCTTTGACAGCATTTCTGCAGTTGCGGAAAGCCTCAAATTTGCCTGTCAAGACTGAGAATTGTTGATAAGCTTTTTGACTTCGCGCACTCAAAAAACTTATCAACAAGACATTTATAGTCTATTCTCCAGTGAGGAGCAAAACCATTTCTTCATTCCTGCAGATTACGATGTATTTATTCCCTTGTCGTGTTTCTCATGTGCCGAGAACGTCGCGTAATGCACTGTCGATTTCTCGAGCAACCGTTTAACGCGGCTCGGCGCTGCCGCGCAATACGCATCCGTTTTTTATGCATTTTTTGCATCTATGCAGTGCAGATAACTCATATTGACGAGTGGTTGCCTGTGTGTGACTATGCGTTTGTGTATCTGTGTGTGCGTCTGTACCGATTTTTCATCTCAAGACCTATAAAAGCTATAGGGTTGAAACTTTCGGTGCTTAATCTACATGCACGCACGAGCCCCAGTCCCCAAAACGGGCGCTCTTACCCGCATGGTACGCACGTACGGGGTCGCCAAAGTTTCTGGCAGGCAAGCTGCTAACTCGGGAACCAGAAAAGCTAGAAAGCTGAAATTTTACAGAGTTGTTTCCCATCCGTGTGAGTATTAACGAGCTCAAACCCAGCCCGCGGGTATGCGTGCTACCCAAGTACGGGCCTGTGAAAGTTTTTTCGGGTAAATTGCTAACTCGGGAACCTGAGAAGCTAGAAGGCTGAAATTCTGAGGAGATGCCCTCCGTCCAGGTACGTATTAATGACTTCAAAACCAGCCACCCAACATTCGTGGTTTCCGCACACGGGTCCGTGAAATTTTTTTCTGGTAAGTTGCTAATTCGGGAACCTGGGAAGCGAGAAGACTAGAATTTTAATGGGATGTTTCCCGTCCAAATAAGTATTAATAAGTTCAAAC